CAAGCCCTTAGATCAACTCGATTTGATACCAAATGTTGCAAAACTACTGTTTAGCAAGTGAAAATGCAGAAATAATAACATAAAATAGCCAACTAATCCAAGGAAATATTGAGGTTTGCTATTAATACTTCCGAAATGCAAAATCAATGTTACAAAGCCTCTATTGATTCAGAACAAACCCATTCCTATTACAATTAAAATGCTCAAACAATAACTAAGGAACCAGAACACTGCAATGCTCAATGAGCATGCCCTCTAATTTTCGAGAGCCAATTTGTCCTCTCACAAAAATACCAAAATATGGCTTACCCCCCACACCACCGAACCAACGACTACTAAAGACCCAAAAGTGGCTTGCACATTCCCCAACCTTACTTTCTGCTAACTAGGCCTAGACTCCTACAGTCAACTCTAAATCTATCCATCTTACTCCTTAAGAGTAACGATAGTAAGGTCAATGTTTTGATGCCTATGAAGTAGTTTGCTCTTTTCATGTTTCTTCTTAAACTTCCTCTTATAGGTCTGTGCTGCAAAAGGGAATATATTAGAAACCAATTGGTTGTAAGTGGGTGTTTACTTCAAAGTACGAGTGTGAACACTGTATTTTGTCCGGACATTTTTTTAATTTAATAAAAATAATAATAAATAACTAAAAAATATATAAAAAATACAAAAAAAATTTTAATCCTTTTTAGGATTATATTTTCAAGAAAAAATAATAATAATACTAATCTAACAAAAAATCCTCTTTCCTTTTACCTTAGATAACCCTTCTCTGAAAAAAAAAATTGATTAAAAAAATACTTTAAATGAGATATCTTAATGCTAGATAGAATAATAAAATAAAATAAAAAAAGAGGTACTATCACGTGCATGCCAATTTGAACTGCCCAACTTCAACAACAAAAACATAGCAGGCATGAAACAAACAAAAAGAAGGAAAACGAGAGAGAGAACAGTTAGCCATGCATGCACGAAGATAACGCCGGGAAAACGCACGAGCAGACGTAGAAAAAAGAAACTTTCAGCCATGCAGAGAAACCAGAACACGTAAACACACAACCACAGCTACACAAAGAAAAATGTAGAAAAGAAACAGAGCAGAGACACACCAGCTGATACGCACAGAAAAGAGACACACACAGAGCACGTAAGCTCTCCTCACACACAAGTAAGCTCTTCCCTGTTTCTGCTTTAAAAGAGACAAGAAAACTGAAAGAAAAAGGGGGACCGAGTGAGATATACATGAGAAAACAAAGACGGAGGGAAGGAGGAAGAAAATAGCACAAAAACCTTGGACAAAGACAAAGATCATGAGAAGCAGGGACGGAGAAGGACTGGAGATGAAGAGAAGAGGGAAGAGACCGAGAAGGTGAGGGGAGTCTGGAGAAAAGAAAAAAAAACAACGAGGACGAGCAAGACAGAGAAGAGACGGAGAAAAAGAAGAGAGAGATTGAGAGGGAGAAACTAAAAACAAAAACAAAGCATAGAGGGAAAAACCGAGAGCAATAAAGAGCACTGAAACTAGACAAAAAAAGGAGAAAAACTAAAGGAAGGGAAGAAGAGAAAGACTGGAGGAGGGATAGACAGAGAATATGCGAAGAACTAGGGACGAGAGGCACAGACCGAGAAAGGATAACAGAGACAGAGGAGAGAGTCTGAGAGAGGATGGAGAATGAGAAGAAGACAAAGAATGAAAGATGAGAGAGAGACAAAAAAGATAGTGACAAGGAAGAGAGGACTGAAGAACGTAAAAACAGAGGGAGAGGACTGAAGGACGTGAAGAAGAGAGCTGAGACGAGAAGGAGAAAAAGCTGAGACAAAAATGAAGGAGGAGGAGTTTGGAGAGGAAGAGACTGGGACAGAGAGGAGAGAGACTGAAGGAGAAGAAAAAAAAAACAAAGCAGACAGAAAAGAAAAGAGAATAGAAAATAGAGCAGGAGATTGAGAGAGACGAGTGTTTTTATAGAAAAAGAAGAGGTTGGGAGAGGAGGAGCAAGAGATTGAGAGAGACGAGCTTTTTTTTTTTAAGAAAAAAACACAGTGACGAAGAGTGAGAGAGCACAGACGTATAATGGAAAATACAGACAGAGGAGAGAGTCCGAGAGAGGATGGTTATGACTGATGAGAGCTTGGAGTTTCTGTCTCTCTCCTTTCCCAATATCAAAGTTCTTTTGCTTCTGAATTGTGATGGATTCAGCACCGATGGATTGGCTGCGTTTGCCACTAATTGCAAGTAAGAATTACTTCCAAGTTCTTGAATAGTTATTCATTCACTGAAATTTTGCAGTTCTTTTTTGAAACCTTTGGCTTCATTGACATATTGCTTTTGCCAGGTTTGTTATACATTTCCTTTGAATAGTTATTCATTTATGAAACATTATGGTTTTCATCTTATTGTGACACAAATAGAGTCCAATCAACTATCCTGGATTTCAAAGCTTTGACAAAATTTCAGTGTTTGCTTAAAATTGAAATAAAGTTTTTTCCACTTATCTGCTGAATATCTCTGCTACTATTTAGTGCTGTTACGCATATTTGGTATAGTTTAATGTGGTTCTATTAATATCAGAATTTGCATTTACTCTTCACACCACCTTTTCAAAGTTCACCTTGTGAGATTTTAAAAATCTCCACAGGCATTTTGAATAACACATATCGTGTAAATTAATAAGATTTTACAGATATGAAAATCCAACCTGCATATATTAAAAATGGATTCCAATGGTCCATTATTAAAATTAACTCTCCTTATATAATTTAAATTAATAAAATATTTAAGTCTCATGAGAGATTTCAAGAATCTTCATAAAGAATTAAATTAATTGTCTTATTTGTGTAGGATAATAAATCCTCGCAGAATTTCACAATTATTAATTTATATAGCAAATAAATGATTTTATAAATAAAATTATAAATATTTTTAATAAAATTAATTAATCAAATTAAGGTATTCAATCTTTTAGTCATATAAGATTTTTTTTGAATATCTGTAGACCTTTAGGATAAATCGTACTACCGTGAGACTCAACAAGACTTCGCAAGTATAATGATTAAGATTTCTATATTAAATATGAATTATACAATTACGTATTAAAATATATTTAAAATATATAATATTTAATCCTTTATGGTGTGAGGATTTTGAATCTCCACAGATATTTAGGATAATCATATTACCGTAAAAGTCAATAAGGCTTTACATGTATGATGATTAAAATTCTCTAAAAACACATATATGCATGCTTGAATAAATTATTACTAACATATAAATAAATTTAATTCTTTTATTGTGAGAGATTTTGAAATCTTCGTAGATATTTAAAATAATTGCATTATCGTATGAGTCAATAAGGCTATACAGGAACTGCGATTAAACTCCCAATCATAAAATATAAAAAATAATTTTAAATCCTTTTCTTTTCCAAAAATTCAAAAATTAAGAAAATAATTGAAATTAAATTACTTTTTGCAATTTAAAACACACATATCAAAAATTTCAGAAATTGTTTTATTTGTAAAATGGTAAATTATTTTTAATTAATTTCTCTTCAAAAAAAAAATATTTTAACCAATAAACTTTTAAGCCCGAATTATGTAGACTTTGATCCCCACCGCAGGGTACGTAGGCCTCAGAGTCAGATTATGAGTCAAGTCCTCCCTCGTAAATAAATAAATATTTCTCACTTAATTCTTATCATTTTTATCAAATACACGAATACAAAAGGGATAATTAAAATAATTTTACAACTATATTAACATAGCACAACAAACTTTAGGTAACCATTCTTATGAACGAGTGTTGTGGAGTGTCTAACACCTTTCCCATATTCAATCGACTCCCAAACCTATTTTTTGATTTCGCAAACCACTCTTATCCACCTTTAATCAGTTTTTCGAGATTGTCCTCAAAATCTTGGTGGCGACTCCCATTTCTCCAATCTTTCTTCTGAAGGCCAGAACCTCCACTCTTGTGCCTTCCATGTCGCATTTCCGGGTGCGACAACGAGGAAGATGGGAGTCATGATAAGCACAAGGCTAGACTTGTTGCAAGAGGGTTTTCCCAAGTCTATGGGATGGACTACACTTTGACCTTTGCACTAGTAGCTAAACCCAACATAGTAAGAATCCTGCTTTTTCTAGCTAGACCCAACATAGTAAAAATGCATTCCTGAATTGAGAACTCAAGGAAGAGGTTTACATGAAATTGCCTTTAGATTTCCCTATGAAAAAACCGAATCAGGTGTGTAAATTTAAAAAGTCACTCTATGGACTGAAGTAGTTTCCTTAAGCGTGGTTTGAAAAGTTCTCACCATTTTAAAAAAACAAGGACACACTCAAGAAAAGTGTGATCATACTTTGTTCTTTAAAGGATTTGTATTTCTCCCCGTTTGACATGTAAAAGTTTCTGCTAATTTTAAGCTCTAAATGAATATTTTTCTAGCATTTGCCTATTTGGTAGAAACAAAAACTTAGTTTTGCAGGTAAAGGTGACGCAATTATTTCTTTTGACTTCAAAGGAATTAAATATTTCAAAAATAAAAAACAAAACCACCAAAAAAGGAAGTAATAGCACAAATAGGATAACTAGATGCATCCTTCGAACCACATAAATGCTGCGACCATGTCTATTACTATTGAATTTAGTGTCCATATTAATGTTCATGTTTCCCCAGCTACTCTTATTTCATTGTATGATCAATTTATATAATAATCCATCTGCTTCTTACTATAAGTGTCTATTAACAACTTTTTCATGAATAAAGGAATTCAATTTAAATTAGCTATTGCTTTTAAACGATCGAAATTACCGTCAATGAAGTTCATCAATTATAAGAGGTTATTTGATTAATTATGAGATTGTTTAATTGGTTAAGGAATATCAAAGCAAAGGAAATTTGAAAAAAAGTTTAATTTTTTTTTCTTAGGGTGGGGGGAGGAGAAAAAATATTTTATACTAAGAACTATGACAAATATCCTTATAATAAAACAAAAGGGAGTAAAATATATAGCAAATCACATTATTTCTAAGCATAGAAAGTGTAACTCATTTCTAATAATTTCAAGGAAAAATATGCCTAGTTTCTTTTATCTAACAAAGCAAATATGGATACTAACCATACACCAGAAAAGTACTGCATTTCCTTTTATAGGTTTCATAGAGAGCCCTTTGAGAATTTTACCACCACAGTTGCAGTCACCCGAACCCTTTGAGTCCGATTAAGAGAGGTAAAGGAAGGCCTAAGAGAACACTCTTGGAAGTTGTTGAACGTGATCTCTTAGTTAATAATATTTCTAAAAGCTTAATAAATGATAGAGCACAATGGCGTCTCGCAATCCATGTAGCCGACCCTACCTAGTGGGATAAAGGCTTGTTGTTGTTGTTGTTGTTGTAGTTGCAGTCACCCGAACCACCCTGCAATACATTTATGCATATTAATAACAACCAGAGGATCCTCTTACAAGAGATTCCAATAAAAATTTTAGTTAATGCCGGCATACTATAGCAGTCATCTTACCAGGTCATCGTTTCAAGTAAAAGGTAGAATATACATAAAATAATAACAACAACAGCAGCAATAACTTTTTTTATAAAAAAAAAAACAAATGCATCTGTTAGCATAATTGATTTGAACTAAAAAGAGATAAAAATGTAAATGCTGAATCCATAATTAGTTCTTTGAGACTCTGGAGTAGGATAGGTTTAAAATAGCCGTATGTATGTTAAGAACTACATTCACATGAATTCCCTTTGTTCAAATATGTTTAAGTAAGAACTAGATTATGGGTCCATAATTTGCATGGAATTTAAGGTGAGCCGAACAATCATAGCTTATGAATAGTGCAGATTCATGTAGATTTTATGTTATCTATAAACATAGATTTAAGCAATCAACCAAACATTTGTGAAAATGATTTTATCAGCTAGAAACGGCCACTAAGAAGATTGTAAAACTATCAAAGGAGTTCAATACTTGTATTTATTGAAACTACATGGTTATGGAGTTTAGAAGCACTGGCAAAAGATGACTCAAGTCTCAAAGAAAATCAAATATGACTCTTTATCTCAGATAGAAAGGAAGCTATATTTGCGACACTTTATAGACAATCTACACATTCGCTTCATAACTAATCATTTGATAATGACATATAAAATAATCTAAATGAAAGACTTCAGAAAGAAAAACGTTTACCATTGGGAAATACGTTTCACCGCCTTCAACATTATCACCCAGATACATAAGCATTGTTGCTATTCGCTGCCCATCACCTTTGAAGTTGTACTGTTGCGGGAAAAAAAAAGCACAAAAAGCCACAATTTTTTATTCCAGCTAAATAGGCTAGCAACATAGAAGCTAGTCGTTCAGAAATAAAATTTAGTTTTATTCCTTTTGAAGATTCTCCTAAAATATTTGGCTATTAAGAGATTGTAGAGTGAGATCCTTACTCTATCTTTTCATAATAGAGTGCCATTCTTCCTTCATTTTCCTATCAGGTTTGAGCACTTACCAATTTACCAAAAAAATAGTCAGTATGGGTTGCATAATACTGATTCTTCTCATACCTATGAATTTGTAGGCGTTAGCCTTGGTCCAAGGAAAACCATTCCTTTTTGTTTGAAAAGAATGGAGGAATTAAATTCATATCCTACCTCAAAATTTGCATATTCTCTCCATTTTCGATTGGTACTTGAGCATAGATTGAAATTTGCTTTTCGATTGCCTGGATGTGCGAGTTGAACATGTTTTACCAAAATGATCCATTAATCCTCACTAAAAATAAAATGTTTTCCACTGATGGACAAATCAATCAACAAAGATACAACTCAAGCCTAAGCACAAAACAAAACAAACTAATGATTTTAAAGGAAACTAAAATTTATTCTGTAATAATGAGAACACAAATAATTAACAAAAAACTGCACAAGAAGAAAGGAATGTCAAGATAACAAATAGAGTTTAGATTGCAGGTGTGTAGTAGTATTTTTTTTAAGCAGTGGGGATGGGGGTGCAGTAAGGTCTTTTGTGTTTATGCCTTGTTATAGGAATTTAGCAATTAATGTTAACAATAATATGACTTTAATATTTTTGGGATGAAAGCAAGAAGCCATTTTGAATATGACAACCTAAAGATATGTAAAAATATGATATTAAATTTGAAGAAGATCATAAAACTATAAAATATTTTCCAAACAAATGACAATAAGAGAAAACATACCTGCACCATTGGGTATTTTCTATCTTCCAAACTCAAGAACATACCAGAGCTTGTCCTGACATTGCTCTTGAAAATCTACTAAAGATGAAGGAAAATCATATGAGAGGCTATTTGGAAGGCTACAAACTATGACTCTTAATCGAAGAACACAAACAATATGTTGAAAATTGTGCCCTAGGACCAATTATTATAATATGAACATTATTATTTAATGAATTTCTCTTTTATTATCATATTAATTGCATGTTCACTATGATAACTGTATCTTTAAACAAACTATAATGATTGTCTTAAATATCACTCTATGAAGAGATCATAGATGAAGCAAGACTAATATGACTTTGATTAATTATAAAGGTATAAATCAAAGCCATAAGCACTTGAAAGGGTACAAGATGCTGGACCAACCTGCTATGAGAAAGCTGTATGATATAAGTCATAAGCTTATCTCACATGTAACCATGTCACTAAGTCTTTTGATGTGAGATTATCATGAATTCCTATATAGTGACCATTGAACTTGGACTTAGTTAAAAATTACTTTTAACTGGGTGATCATAAAGGAATATAAGTGATCAAGATAAAATTAGTGATATTCATGAAAAGGAATATGAGTGATCAAAATAAAATTTGTCTCTCACATTAATTGAGAAATATCACCGGTCCCCTCAATGAGTAAGACTGAAAAAATATATAGCTATACTACAATGGAAAGAGTTTTTCCATTGCTATAGTCACTTTGCTCAGAGATCGAAAAAGTAATGATCAGGAAAAGGAGAATGACAATTCCATATCTCACACTTGACCAAACTATCGCATGACAAAAGGGATGTAATACGATTATATGATAGGTTATATTGGATCATCGATCTCTATATGAATTAAGTAGTCGCAATGTCTTGTTAAAGACTACTTGTGATTTATAGGCTAGTAGCTTTATTGGCCTACTACCAACTTCATATGGACCTATAGGGTCACACAGAAGAACAGCCTAACTCGAGCTATAATAACTAAGTTTATTGAATTAGAATTATGTCTAGATTCAATAAATGTAATGCTTTATCCAGGATGAACAAATTATATGTATATATATGCATTTGAATATTTGTCTGATAAATATATATATTTATGTTTTTGAAACATAAAATTCAAAATATAATATTATATATATATTTGTGTATGTATATCAGATCATATATATATATATATTATATTATATTGTGTTAGTCTTATATGATAGATTAAATTTAATGACTAACATAATATGAGAGGATATCATATCGATTCTATAACTTGAATTTATAAGATAAATTCAAATAAGATATATAATATATTATAAATTTAATTTATGAGATAAATTAAATTTTATTTTCGCTGGCTCAAGATGTGATTTTCAAAATAATTATGATTATTTTCGAAAATTCATAAGGGAAGACATAAAACCCTAATCTATATAACATAGAGAAGGACGAGCTTCCTAAGTGAGAGAAAAACTTCTCGATGGCAAAATTCTTGAGAGCCACAGAAAAACTCTAGAGAAAAAGAAAAAGAAATAATGCCCAACCAAGCTGATGGAAAGATGTTGGTAGCGCTAGCAAGCTTTTCGTATTGAAAGCTGTTCGTGTGAATATCAATCGATAGAGCCAATCTACATCGTCAGCTCTTAAGGTCTAAACACTTGAAGGAAGCTCGAAAATTCGACATCTAAAAGGTATTTTTTTTAATCCACCTTGACATAAACTAATTCGATCAGCTCGCATTTGTGATTAGGGTTTATTGATTTTGATTTTAGTGTTTTCACTGTGCCCTCAATCTTACACAATATAGAGAAGTTGACTAGCTAGAGAAGACTACTGTAGAAAGGATATAATAACTGCTTCACAGCATTTTCCCATATTTTCGCTCCCTTTTCTCATACTTTCCTGATATTCTCTCAAAAGTCATTAAGGATATTGGAGCGATACTTTGTTTTCTTATTACTAGATTGAAAATATAGTAGGTATTATAAGGATGATGGTGCGCATAAATCAAGCCACCGGATCCTCAATTACAATGAGCTATAAATCAAGAAAATAAATTATAATAAAAATGTTTTATTGATCCTATGATAATAGGGATTGATAGCTATACACAACCTAGGGTATTATTAGTGAATGGGCCTAAATATATGGGCTGAGCCTTCTATTCAATACTCCCCTTCAAGCTAACTAATTTATGTCAAGCATTCCTAGCTTGCTTGTTAGCTCATCAAATCTAGTTCTTCCAATAGGCTTTTGTGTGAAGGTCAGCAACTTGAGTAGTGATGTTGATGCAACTCATCTTAGTAATATCTTCAATTTTCTCTATTATTAAATCTTCATCTATCTCCATGTGCTTTGTTCTATCGTAATGGACATGATTATTAACCATTTGCAAAGCAAACATACTATCGCACCACAATTGAGTTGGAAGTTGATAACCATCCTTCAATTCTTTAAGTAACCTCATTAACCATATTCCTTCACACACTCTATGAGCAAATGCTCTGGCTTTAGCTTTAGTACTACTTTGAGGAACAATTATTATTATTATTTTTTTTTTGCTTCTCCAAGTAATCAAATTACCCCATAAGAAAGTAAAGTAGCCTCTAGTGGACCTTCTATTTTCCAAATCTTTTCCATGATCAGCATCCATGTAGATTTCAATACCCCTTAATCTATCCTTCTTGAAGAATATTCCCCTTCTTGGATTCATTTTTATGTGACTTAGAATTTGATACACTGCTTCCACGTGTTCTTCTTGAGGATTGCTTGAAAATTTATCACACCAACTGGGTAACTTCTGTCTGATATCATTCCTTGTTTATTGGCATGCCATCTTCCTTAATCACAAGTTTCAACCCATCTTCCATTAGAGTAGCAGCTGGTTTTGCACCAAGCATCCGTTTTTTCTTTTAGTAGGTCTAGGATGTATTTTCATTGAGGCAGCAAAACACCTCTTTTAGCCCTTGCCACTTCCAAACCAAGGAAATATCTCATTCTCCCCAAATCTTTCACTTCAAACTCTTGAGCAAGTGCTTGCATCATTTTCTGAATGTCTTCAAGCTTATTTCCTATCAAGACTATATCATCTACATACACAATCAATACTGTCATTTTATTTCCAGCATGTTTCACGGATAATGCATGATCTGCCTAGCCCTTGCACAAGTCCTAGTTTATGAGTAAATATATCAAACTAAGCTTAATGGGATTGTTTAAGTCCACAGAGTGACACGTAGAGTCTAGAGACACAATTGGATCCAAATTCTTACTACTTGAGGGACATTTAATAATAGTTCTTCCTCCAAATCCCCATCATGAAAGGCATTCTTTACATTTAATTGATTTAGAGGCCAATCTAGATTTGTAGTAATAGAAATTATTACCTTAATGGTATTCAATTTGGCTACTAGAGCAAATGTCACTTCATAGTCAATCCCACATATTTGTGTGAAACCTCAAGCTACCAATCTTGCCTTGTACTTGTTTATACTACGGGTTTGTTATTTTATGAAAATCCATTTGTAGCCAACAGTAGATTTCCCATGAGGTAGTCTAGTAACCTTCCAAGTCTGATTTTTCTCAAGTTCTCTAAGTTCTTCATTTATTGCTTCTTTCCACCTTGGGTCTAATATGACTTCTTCATATAATGCTAGAATTTTTTCATCAGAAATACTTGTAGGAAATCCTTTGTATTCAAAAGAAAGATGGCTATATGATACAAAGTTACTTATGGGATGCTTTTTATAGGTACGTACCCCTTTCCGAATGGTAATTGGCCAACTCAAGTCATTGGGAATGGGACAAGGTTCAAATTCTTGGTTCTGCCTCAGAAATTCAAGGGTCCCACCACTCGTTGCATGTCCTTTGGCACTTCTTCTTCAAAATCTTGATTTGTGTCCCCCACTTCTTCAAAGATCTCATCACTGAGTTGAGGTTCAGGTGTTGTTTCTTGTTCAAGAGGTTCTAGTTCTATTTTAGGTGCTGTTTCTGGTTTAGGTATAGAGACAAAAACATGTTCAAGTTCAGGTTGGCCAAGTATAAATGAAATAGGAGATGATATGAGTATATTGTTTGTACTTTGATTTGTATCATCAGGTAAAAAATTCAATTCCCCTTATTTCTCCCCCTGGATTGAATTTTTGGGGTAAAAAGAGATATTTACATTGAAAGTAACATCCACAGATACAACATTTTTCTAAGAGTAGGAGAACAACACTTGTACCCCTTTTGAACATTAGCAGCATACCCAAACACCTTTTGTGATGTAGAAGAAACAAGTTGATGACCAAGATAGAATTTAGACAACACTTGTATCGGGTGTTGAAAGGTAGTCTATTTGAAAGAAAAGCAATAGTTATAATAGCTTCACCGTAGAAAGTCTTTGTTATATTATTAGTTATTAAAAAGTTTCTCACTATTTAAAGTAGTTGTCTATTTTCTTCCCTCTGCTATCCCATTTTGTTGAGGGGTATTAACACAATTAGTTTGGTGAATTATACCATTGTCATTCTAATGTGTAAATAGATAATTAGAGGATAATTCATTCAATTACAGTTAGTTACCGTTAGCCCGTTAGCCTATCCTAGGGAGACCTATAAAAACAAACTCTATGTAATTCATCCGTATGTTTTTGAAATAATAAGTCCTGAGTACTATTCAGAAATCCTCTCATCCCTTCTCTCTCCTCTCTCTCTATTCTTCTCTATTCTTCCTATCCTACACATCAGTGGTATTAGAGTTGGCGGTTCTCGGCCTGTATGCCTAAAACAAGAGTACAGAGATTGCAACCTACCATGGCAGACAACAGTGAAGACCGACTTCATGCACTGGAAGACGCCTTTGCCAGATTGGTTAATCTCCCAAGTGACATCCAAGCTCTCACTAACCAGGTTGCTCAGATAGTACACGATCGTACTGATACATCCGATGAGGGAAGGGCCAGTCATAACCAGCGCAGAGGATGACCCAGACCCAAAAACTAGGAGTATTAGCCTCGCACGTGTTTTACAAAAATGAAGTTTCCCAAATTCCGAAGAAGTGATATCTTGGGAT